TCACGTTCCACGGCCCTGCTCTCGCCCTGGCAAACTCCCTCAGCGCCCCAGCCCCTCTCCTCTTCTTTTCTCCCCAGGCAGTGCCAACCTAGGTCACCTCCACTGCTCTGCCTGTCTTGCCTCCACCTGTGCAGCCAGACACGCGGGTTTTACCGTCAGGTGGAGCAGTTTACGTTTGTGACCGCTCGCGTGTCAGTGCTGCCCGGCGATCCTCCTGTATTTCTCTCGTCCGTTGGCTGTTTGTTAATTGTCTGTCCACCGTCACCAGGCATCGGTTCTAACCTCTGTCACCAACCTCGTGTAAGCCACTGCCCCTTTTTGGGCCTCCATTTCTCCACCTGTAGGATGCGGGTGGCGTGGGAGTGAGGGAGACCAGTGCTTCCTGATCAAGGGATTTTTCGGATTCACCTAGATACTTGCTTAAAATGCTGTTCCTGGGCCTTACCTCCCCCACGCCCTGCCAGAGCCTCATGGTCAGTAGGTGTGGGGCTGGGGATCTGCATTTTTATAGTCCAGGTTGGGGACATTTGAGTACATGGTGATGCCTGGTCCCCACCCCTAGTTTCATACAGACACACGTGTACGTCTCGATGCCAAAAACAGCTACACAAAGTCACACACCCAGACACAGCCATACGGACCTAGCTTCCAGTTCCCCATACACCACCACCTCCCTGGCAGGCTGCGTGCCCTCCGACAGGCTCTCTGTGTGTGCAGTGAGGTGGCTGGCCTAGATACCACGTGCATTCGCAGACATCTTTGCACACCCGGACACATCTGCAGACACGCACGCAATCCCACACACTTAAACGCAGACACAGAGCGACACGGGAAGGCACGTATCCTCAGGGATGGACCCCTATGCACGCACCACGGTACGGATGCACGGAGATGCTCCCCTGTAGATACAGAGTCACGGAGGCACCCGAAGACGCACACGTGAAAACACACCGATGGGTACACACGGACACGTGCTGATACTCACCCCTAAGACAGACAGATGCACACGCACACAAACACACACTCCTCCTCT